TCAAATACCTTTACGTCTGTATCCACCGATTCCACTGGCGGTGACGTCATTCCCTGCGCGAACCGTGGAAGAGGGAATAACCTTGTATTCTCTTGCTATTTCATAAAACGTATACTTACTGTTGTCCGACGTACCGTTGTTGTCAGCAGCGCCCGCGATGTCAGTAGTGCTGTCAGTAACCGGTGTGGTGTTGTCAGTCATAGTGCTGGAAGTGACCAAACTCTCATTTGTTATAAGGTCATCAGTCGTAGTATTTAAAGTAGGAGCTGAAGGTATTTCAGACCCGAGTGCAACGGTGGTGGTATCGAAAGTAGTTAAAGTAGAAGGGATAGCAGTAGTGGTCGTAGATGCAATCGTAGTGAGAGCAGTAGTTGTAACACTTGTAGAGGATGTAGAGCTAATCGTAGTAGTAGTAGTAGAAGTAATAGTAGGTATACTAGTGCAGTAAACCTTGTATTTTTTGCCGTCGAGTAACCGCTCACTGTCTGTGTAAAACCCGAGATTGCGACACCTGACAGTGCCATTGTTCCCAGAATAGTCTCGAGGGCCAATGGTCATCGCTGCAGAAGGGTCAGAACAGGTCAGCACCTGAATTTCATCCACGCAACCCTGGGGAGAGAAAATATTTGGAATTTTGAGAGTTATTACTTTTCCTTTTCGCTAACTTGACACTAACTAGGATTGAATTGATAACGATGATAATCATAATAATAATGATAATAATAGGTATAGAAAAAAGTTGGATATTAACAAACGTAATGGTAATGATCATGATAATAATAATGATAATAATGATAATGATAGTTAATAATAATAGTAATAATACTAATTCAGTAATAATGACTAATAATAATAGTAATCACGATGACAACAAAACAACAACAGAAATAAGAACAGTAATGATATTAATACAACCAAAATAACTGTCACATTATAATCATTACCCAAACCGAGCATCGTCATTCACAAAACCTTTATCACTTGCATCCCTGACATTTGACTCAACCGACGCTGTTCTAATCGTTTCCAAACCTCATCTAAATCTAATTTTCTTCGCAAAACGACTCACCTCAAGTTCAAAGACTCCTTTGCCTTTGTCGGTGATTCGCGGAGAAAAGGTATTTGTAGTCAAAGGTTGCACTGTTGCCATGTCCACTTCCAGGTCGATGCTACATTTGAGCATGGTATTTGGTCCACCTGGTTGTAATGGTAGTGATATCTGTATCTATATCTATCTATCTATCTAACTATCTATCTATCTATCTATATATATATATGTATATATATTGCACACACACACACACATAAGCACATATAGGGTGACAATCAGTTTTAAGGCAATCAGTAATTGGGGTTTAATCTAGAGCAATTTCAAATTTCCCGCTCGCATTCTCTCCAGCTGCTTATTGGTTCGTCGGCGGAGAGAAACTAGCCAATCAGTGTGCGTCTAGATTTAAAACGTCATAGGCAATCATGTTTCCAAAAGTTTACTGGCGAAATGAAGCAAATGTTTGAATGTAAAAGGAAAGATAAATAGAAATCATTAAAATAATCAATATGCTAGTATGATTTTAATTACTAGCAAAATATTGTAGAAGCTTCAAATGAAATAGAAAGAGTAACCGACAACTCTAATACTCATATTGTTTACACATACCACTATTCGCTTCGTTAGGCTGTATAAACTTCCAAATGTATGTCATATTCAGACATTATCTTTTCTATTTACTTCCATAGTTCTTCAGATGGAAAGAGAAAATATATGTGAATGAAGTTTTGTTTACATAGAATCCGAATCGTATACAACTGAATTAGACCCATGATTAAAAAAGCATTTAATTGTCTTATTACTTGTAATATATCAACAGATAAAGACACACATCCCTAGTTTTGGTATTTTTGAGACTGTGAGGTTATAATTTACAGGCACAGAATGATTTTGAAGATGTTTATCCCGCCGAAGTCAATGCCACATCATATGCCTCGGATTCGATGAAAATTCTGACCATGATTTTTCGTTGAACTAACGTTATTATTTACTTCAGATTTTACCCATATAGAGTGAACTTGTATTTGGTTTCTGCATAAGAGTCAAATAAATATTTGCTGCCTATTCAAACCATGAAGCATGATTATATATATATGTGTGTATAAATACATATATGTGTTTATATATAAACATATATATATATATATATATATATATATATATATATATATATATATATATATATATATTATGGTAGAAAAACCCACAATGCACAAAGTAGATTTATTGAGGAAATATATATATATATATATATATATATATATATATATATATATAATATATAATATATATATATATATATATATATATATATATATTATATATATATATATATATATATATACTGCCCACAAGCACATACACGTACACAAGTATTTATACATAATAAACACAAGTTTATATGATGAGTTACGTATAATTCTACATGTGTGTACATATATGCATGTGAGTGTATAGAGTCGAGAAGCATCATAATTGGCATAAATAAAATATTCCTTCCAAGACACATACCTCCGCACTCCTGGTCACACTTGGCGTCTTCACACTCGCCCAAGGAAGTGTCGTCTGCGTGGAACACTTTCCCGCAGGAGGACGTTCCGTTGAACACTGAACAGGAGTCGTAGGTCAGTCCGTTGTAGGAGAAGGGGAACCGACACTTCTCGCCCTCCACGGTCTTGCAGGCTGAGGGAGACGAAGGGAGGGGGAGGGAGGGAGAAGTGGTAGCACCCTCACTGTCGATCTGTTTGTGTTGATTGTAACTCCTCTCTGTCTCTTTCTTCTTTCTCTCTCTCTCTCTTCTCTCTCTCTCTTTCTGTCTGTCTGCTCTCTCTTTCTCTCTCTGTCTCTCTCTATTGTCTCGCGGATTAGGAAGAGGAAAGGTGAGGGAGATGTGTTACGAGTACTCTCTCTGTCAAACTATTTATGTTAACTCTCTCTCTCTCTCTCCTCTTCCTCTTTTCTTTCTCTCTCCCTCTCTGTTGTCTTACAGTTGTCTTTCGGCTGATCTCTCTTCCTTGAAATTTCCTTCTTATTTCTTTCGGTCTACGTTTAAATGCATTAGTTGTTATTTACATCTACCTGCCTCAATAACTATTTATATATCCATTTATCTACGGTAGAAGTCTCTGCACACACACACACACACAAATAAGTACGTATGTATATAAATGTATATTAATTCACACTCACACTCACTATCCTTTCTCTCTCTCTTCTCACTCTTCTCTCTCTCTCTCTCTCTCTCTCTCTCTCTCTCTCTCTCTCTCTCTCTCTCTCCCTCTCCCTCTCCCTCTCCCTCTTTCTCTCTCTCACTAACTTTGGTAGCACTTGGGCAGGGTGTCGTTGGCCCAAAAGCCGTTCTGAAGGCAAGTGACGTTCAGAGAGGCCAGGTAACCCTCGTCGGTCCAGAGTCCCTTCGTCAGGTCATCGCATTCCACCGTCATCACTGAGTTTATCGGAGCCTTATGGATAAAATAAAAAATAAGGAAATAAAGAAACTAGATAGACTTTTACTAGGGTTACAGGAGTAGGAATTGGGAAGCATCTGCTAAGAAGGGAGTGTCAGTTGAAAGATCTTACTGAACAAAAGGTGTCGTATCGATTCACAGTAACGAAATAAGGATAAATAGAACGTGGAAAGGAAATATCACAATGAATGAACAAAGAGCCTTGTCAACACCTCTGCACTGTACTCTCCTATGAAATATAAAACCCCCTATTAAATACTAACAACAACAAAGCATAATTATCTATCAGGAAATCCCAGAAACCAGACAATAACACAACTTTAAACTTTACCATGATGACAGAATATTCTCCCTTCGGCAGTGAGTTATTTAGGAACAGCTGTTTCGACGGTCCTCCGAAGGTCAAGATGTCTTGTCCTGAGACTTTCATTGAGGAAGACGCGTAGAAATCACTCATGCAGAGGGGAACTGAAGGAGGGGAAGACGTTGGAGTAAGAGGGAGGGAGAGAGGAAGGGAGGGAGGGAAGGAGGGAGGATGGGAAGGAGAGAAGGAGAGGGAGAGGGTAAGGTAGGAGGGGTGAGGAGAAAGGGGAGAGGAAAGGATGGAGGATGGGATAGAAGAGAGGAAGAGGGGGAAAGGGAAGGGAAAGGAAGAGGCAGACAGATAGACAGACAGCGAGAGACGAGAGAGAGAGAGAGAGAGAGAGAGAGAGAGAGAGAGAGAGAGACAGAGAGAGAGAGAGAGAGAGAGAGAGAGAGAGTTTCAGAGAGAGAGAGAGAGAGAAGAGGAGAGACAGAGAGAGAAAGAAAGAGAGAGAGATGAGAGAGAGAGAGAGAGAGAGAGAGAGAGAGAGAGAGAGAGAGAGAGAGAGAGAGAGAGAGAGAGAGAGAGAGAGAGAGAGAGAAGCTAGAATATAAATGAGAGCAAAACAGAGATAAAAAAATATGATAAAATTAAACCAATCAACATCATCCATTTTAATCATTTCCACCTCCCCTACTGATCTCCCCCCCCCCTTCTTCAACTAGAACACCTCACCTTCAGTACAGCCAGGCAGAACACGTGAAAACTGAACGCTGTCAGGCCATGTCATGTTCCACTGTCCATTTTCACACTCCATGGTGACGTAACTGTACGGAGAGCTCACGGAGTCCACAGCGAAGGAGAAATATTGGTGAGTCTGTTGGCACGTTAGGTTCACCCTCGCGCCGTTGCAGCCCTGGGGGGGGGGGGGGGGGGGGGTTGGACAGGAGACAATTAAGAGTACTGCTGAGTATGTGACATACATGCATACACGTACACACACTAACAAGGGGGCGTTCATTAAAGGTTTCCCCTGGCACACTTCCCATGGACGTACAGGAATGAAACTCGTACAGTAAGAGGGAAGAAAAGAGGAAGAGAAAGAGAGAAGAGAAAGAGAGAAGAGAAGAGAGAAGAAGAGAGAGCGAAAGAGGAAGAGAAAGAGAATGAAAAAGAGAGAGAGAGAGAGAAGAGAAAGAAGAGAAAGAGAAGAGAGAGAGAAGAGAGAAAGAGAAGGGAAGGAGAGGAGAGAGAGAGAGGAAAGAAGAGAAAAAGGAAAGAGAAGAGAGAAGAGATTTCTCCAGTAGGTCCCACCAAGAGTTGGTGACAACTTCTATTTATTATAGGCGCTTGTGGATACTTGCTTGCGAAGTCGCAGGTTGTGGTTTGAGCCATGACGACTTAAAATCGGGGTCTCACCATTTTTGGAATGTTTACTTCAAAAGGATTTTGGCGGAGAGGTGGGAGGCAATGGGCAAAGAACAGGACATAGGGGGGACGGGGATGCCTGTCGCTGGCCGTGGTTCGGGGCATGTGGTGGGGGGT